CAGCAGGAAGGCTGCAGGACATCCCTTGTCCAAGGAGATGGTGTCTGAGGCAATTAGGAGGGTGGGAAATTTGGTTTGTGGATGTGTCAAGCTGAAATACGTGCTGTGATCCTTCATCTCTGCCCAGGATGAGCTCTGAGAACCAGCTTCAGGCACAAGGTCACCGTTCTGCAGGTTTACTGCTAAATGAGACAAACAGTCTGGAAGGGGCAATGGTTGGTCCTAGAAAAGAGTCTGGTGGGCTCTGTGTGATGGGACATTCTCATCCTGGCTTCCCATCTCAGATCTTCCTGCTGCTGTTGGTCACGTCGCTGTGCCTCGCCGTTGCCTCTGGGTTCTGGGCCAGGACGTTCCAGGAGAAGCACAGCTACCTCTCTGCTCTCTACAAGCACACGACCCCTGCCCAGCAGGCCTTCTTCAACTTCTGGGGCTTCACGATCCTCCTGAGCATCATCATACCCATGTCCATGTATATAACGTAAGAAAAACAGAGCTTGCAAGTGATCAGAGATCAGTTCCCCGCTCCCTGCCCTTGGCCATCATCTGGCACCTTGGTTTGCAGCCACTAAATGAGGCTGCACAAAAGATCCAGCTGTGACCCTGAGCAAATCATTCCCATACGTTCCCTTAGCCATAAGAGGGTAAGGATGGATGGGGTGTGTATCTTACAAACATTGATGACGTGCTTTGAGATCTCAGAGAAAAGCCAGGAGAGGTGCAAAGCCACGTACTGATGTTGGAAATCGTGGACAGGCTGAGGATGAGACTGATGAAGGTGGTGTTTCCCCACTGAGCCGCAGCAGGGTGGGGAAGAGAAGGGCACAGCCATTGTGAGCAGGCAATAATCACAATTTGTGCTGGAAGAAGCAGTTTCCAAGCTTTTCGGCCCTTCACTGAATCTCCAGATCTATGAATTTTGTCATCAAGGGCCAGATTTCCAGAGGGGAACCCAGCTGCCTGGGACCCAGTGGGCTCCCAGGCCGGTGCGATGAACCTTCTGGAAACTTGGCCATGAGCAATGAAAACCCTCTTGCTTCCCCCAAGCTCAGAGCAATAGAATCCAGGTGGGGAGTTCCCCTCTGCCCTGTGGCAGATCCCCAGGTGCCCCTGGGATGTGAGTAATGCAATCTCCTTCCCCAGCGTAAGTTTTCTTCTACCTGACTCCCTAGGTTTGAATTCATCTATCTGGTGAACAGCTTTTTTATCAACTGGGATCTGGAAATGTATTATGCTGTCAAGGACATTCCAGCAAAAGCCAGAAGCACCAGCCTCAATGATCAGCTTGGCCAGATCGAATATATCTTCTCGGACAAGACTGGCACCTTGACACAAAACATTATGAGCTTCAAGAAATGCTGTATCAATGGGACCATCTACGGTAACTTTTGGTGGAAGCAAGTTTGTAGGGACTCTTGAGTTAGGTAAACCTTGAATTGGTTCTTTCCACTCCTCCTGGCTTGCTAGGAAGCTTGGGGCATGTGGATTGATCTTGGTGGTCCAGCGTGTAGACAGAAGATGCTGTAGGAATTCAGCTTGCCCTCATCTCCCATGTTATCAGTGCTTTGCAGGGGCCACCACGCCTGTGGTCACACTTGTCCCATGTTCCCAGTGCATGGGCTTAGGGCACAATTTTGCCCTCCTAAAATGGGTGCCTACCTTTCGGGAGATGTATCATGCCCCAAACTCAGCTGAGATCAGCTAGGTTTTCCCTGATAAAAAAGGGAGGCGGGGGTTGGGAGCCCAGCACAGCTACATGGCAAACACATAGTCTGAGTGAGGTGGGTCCCACCTGGCATAGTTAGCTGTTGCTGGCCCAGGTGGCCAGGACAGGGCAGGCAGAGGAGCCACGGGGTGATGGGCCAGTGAAGCCCATGGATTTTTTATTTTCTATGAAGGTCTTGGAGAGAAAAATGAGGTTTTGCTCTTCTTCTTTGCATCATTTTCTGGTGAATCTCCAGATTGGTTTCCAAATCTGGGCTCTTTGAGGCTTTCAGGTCACCTATGGAGGAAGCAAAGAAATTATCATTCCCCTTATGTTGTTTCTTTACAGTGAGTGCGTGTAATTACTCTTTGCTTTTTTTTAATGATTCTGCTTGTTTTTCCCCTTAGAAACCCGAGAATTGCCAAGTCCTTCCTCTTCTTACTGCTATACTTACTCAAGCTCTCTGCTGGCTTCTGGGAGCTGTCTCAGTGCTTAATTAGTGAAATTTAGTGAGTGGGCCAGGCCAGAGCTTTAGCATGGAGCTCCTTTTTCCTGAGATAAGTATCAAGCACTTGAGACAAATGGACAGTGATAAAAACAAAGCAGAGGGGAAAAAAAATTCTAGCAAAGTTTTTAAGCAGGAATAAACCCAGTTTTCCCCTGCCCGATGTATTGTGTTGCACCTCCGTGATAGCAGCCTCCCGTAATCCCACCGGTCCCTGGCCAGCTGCAGTCTCCCAGGAAAGGCAGGTGAAAGCTAGACCTGAATTTTTAACATTAAAAACATGTCAAAAGTCTGAACAGTCCAAGAGCTAAACAAGTCAAACCTGGATATCCTAACAGAGCCTGGCCCATGACCGACACTGAGCAGATGCTGAAAACCCATCCCTTTTTGCCAGTCTTTTGGCCAGCAAAAGCAGCAGTCCCTTCTAGAGCAACTGCTCGCAGCCCCCGCTAGTGACGCTCCCTGCCAGCTCTTTATTAATTGAATTATTTTTATTTTGGCAGGTACAGGCACAGGCCGTGAGAACAAACAGCCACCGGTGCGTAACTCCCCTCTCCCATGTCACTTGGGGCCAGATGCTGCTCCTCAGCGGGGCCAAAGCTGTAGCAGTTACTGATTACACCGGCAGCAGGCCCAGCCTGTTGTTTTGGAGCACGGCTTGCTTACAGTGGGGCCCCATGCTGTAAGAGAGTGGTATGTGTTTCCTTGGGCTGGCGAGTTTGCCAGTCCTCAGCTGCCAGTTAAGGACAGGGGACCCAGGTTTATAGAATCATGCAGTCCTGAATTTTATTTTTTTTTTTTTTATCCCCAACCTTTTTATACTCACCATCTTGATGTAGGCAATGCAGAGCTCGGCTTATGGACTCCGATCTGGATCGGACCGTGCCAGCACAGGGTTGCTGTATTGCAACCCAGCAGCATCCCCAGTGCAGAGCCCCGTGCTTGGTCTCTCTCCCTCGGGCGCCTGCAGCCTGCCTGTGCCTCTTGCAGGGGTCGGGGTTGACCTGGAACCACCGCGGGGAGAAGAAGATGGACTGTTGCGATGCGACGCTGCTGGAAGCCGCCTGGCGGGACAGCGACCCCGTGCTGAGGGAGTTCCTGAGGCTGCTGGCCCTCTGCCACACTGTCATGGTGGAGGACAAGGGCGGTGGGTCGGCCGCGGCGGTTGACATGCTCGGAGCGGGGTCGAGCTGCTGTTCAAGGCATTGAGGCCACGATGGCTTTTTCCATCACCCAGCAAAGCTCTGCTGTGCAGGGAGCAGGTGGCGTGAGAGCCCAGGGATGCTTTGTGCCACTGTCCTAGCATCACGGACGTGTACATTTGGTCTTGTTTTAAAGCTAATTAGTTGGAACAGAGGCACGGGGGGATGATCCAGTCTGGGTACTTGTCCTGCATGGGGCAATGAGCAGAAGAGATGAGACAAGTAGGACTGAGTTTCCCTAGCCTGGTGGTTTGGACTTCAGGGTGTCCATAGATAATGTTGGTGCTGGGCAAGAAGGTGTTTCAGACACCCAAGAGTTGCTTGGCTGGGATTCTCCTTGTCTAACCCCTACTCCTCTTCTGCAGACCAGCTGGTTTATCAGGCAGCTTCACCAGACGAAGAAGCGCTGGTGTTGGCAGCCAGGAACCTGGGGTACGTCTTTCTGTCCCGAACGCAAGACACCATCACCATCAGTGAGCTGGGGAAGAAGAGGACGTACAAAGTGCTGGCCATGCTGGACTTCAACAGCGATCGCAAGAGGATGTCTGTCCTGGGTGAGCAGGACAGGGTGTCTCAGGGGGGCCCCTCCAGCAACACGGAGGGTCCCTTCTGTACTCAGCCCTACAAGGGATGGCACTGGGATGGCTGCAATTGACTGCAGCTGGCACAGGGGCTCCTAAGGATCGTCCTGGTCATCCCTGTGGTTTTGCTCGCCCTGATACCTTGGTGAAGGCAGCCGAGAAGTGTTTGAGTGGCCAAGAGAGACTGAGTAAATCAGGGACTCAGAGGAGGTGTGCAAGGAACTGACAGTCCCTGCGGCCCGATCCTGCCTCGTGGTGGTGTAGATCTGGGGAAATTCCTGTGCTTCCCATGACCGCAGGCAGAAAAGCACCAGCGTCCCCTGTGGTGCCTTCTGCGGCATGGCCATTGCATTGGGACAGCGATGAGTGGGAGCCACCTCTCTGGGTACCTAAGCTGTCCTTCCCCTCCCTCCCAGTGCGAGACCCCCAGGGCACGATCCGGCTCTACACCAAGGGGGCTGACACCGTCATCCTGGAGAGACTGCAGAGGCGAGGGCCCAATGAGACCTTCACCGAGATGGCACTGGATGTGAGTCTCACGCCAGCCCAGGGCAGAAAGGGCTGGTTTCCCTGCTGTTGGCTTTGGGCTGGGTGTCCTGGAGTCCCCTGCTGCTCTTTCTCCTGCTGGCTTCAGGATTTTGGTCCTTCTTTCTTTCTTCTGCTCTAAAGGAGCCTCACCTGCCTATGGGACAGGGGCTAAGAGGGCATCAAGTGCACCTTCGGTGTTCTGCATGGACCAGGTGCATTGCAAGGATGCTCATGGGGATGCTGTAGGATGGGGGAGGGAGTCAGAGCCGGGGGGAGACTCTCAGATCCTGGAGCATCTCTGGCTCTGCCCATGGGAGCATTGTGGCTGGCTGGCATGATGCCCTGGTCCACTGTGAGAGTCATCCTGGTCGAGGCAAGGGAGACCTGACGTCTCATCTCTGCAGCGCTTTGCAGAGGAGACACTGAGGACTTTATGCCTGGCCAGCAAGGAGGTGAGCGAGGTCGAGTACAGCGAGTGGAGCAGGAGGCACCACGAGGCCAGCGTCCTGCTGCAGGACCGCGCGCAGGAGCTGCACAAGCTGTATGAGGAGATGGAGCAGAACCTGCAGGTGGGATGAGGCTGGGGTTTAGGAGGAACCAGCTGCGCTGGTCCCACAGTGGGCAGGAGTGTGGGGTTCAGCTCTCTGGGATGAGGGGGTGAAGTGTCCAACCCAACACCCGTCCCCTGGATGGGAGGGCAGGTGGAGTTCCCCCCAGGGGTGACTTTGTGACATGCCAGTAGACACTGGGTTAGATATCTGTCAGGTCATGTCCACCCATGGGCAAGGACTCCTGGTTGGATCCAGGGGCAATTCCCCACTCTGTACCTTGCCCTGCCCCATGTCATGACACCCACTCACCCTCCTTCCAGCTGCTTGGGGCCACGGCCATTGAGGACAAGTTGCAAGATGGAGTCCCTGAGACCATCCAGCTGCTGAAACTGGGCAACATTAAAGTGTGGGTACTGACAGGAGACAAACAAGGTCAGTGGAGGGAACCCCAGACCCCACCAACACATTTCAGCTTCTCCCCTAACCAGGACCAGAGAAGAGATGAGACCCTGGGAGTGGGCAGCAATCAGGTTCTGCTGTTCCCTTTAATATACAATAGCAGGACGTCCCACAGATCATGTCACCCATGGGGAAACTGAGGCAGGGGAAGCCATCTGCACGATGGCACAGAGCTGGAGCAGAGCCCAGCAGCAGCTGCTGCCCACCAAGGGCTGTTGGACCTGAGGGCTGGCTGCTGCCCTGGGATGGGGGGGCTGCACCATCAGCCATTGACACCTGCATGTTGCAGAGACCGCAATGAACATTGGGTATGCGTGCAAGCTGCTCACGGAGGACATGGAGATCCTGGAGGAGAAGGAGATCAGGTGAGCAATCGTGACCTCCTGGTTCAGGATATTGTTGTCCCCTCTGAAGACACCCAAGGGCATAGGAACCTGTACAGGGCGGGCAGAGCTCGACTCTGCCAGAGATGTTTCTCGTTCCCTGTCCCAGCCTGGATGTCCATGCACCTCATCAGGCCTCCCCATCTGTTTCTGCACCTACAGCATTCTCTTCCTTAGCAGGCTTTGACCAGAAAATGCTTAAGCTCTCTCTCCAGCCTCTAAACCACAGGGAGAGAGGCTGATTTCTGGTATCAGTGAGCCCCTGGGGCCCCCTCTCTGTCCCTGCTGTCCCCACCAGTGGGTACCAGCTCCATCTCCCTGCAGCTGGCTTTGAGATGGCAAAGGCCAACTGTAGGTCTCAGTCGAAGGCAGGCAGTATGCCCAGTGTCCTCAGCTCCAACCACCCCTTCCTCGCACAGCGAGATCCTCGAGGCTTGCTGGGTGAGCAACAACCACCTCAGTGGCAGCGGGGAAGCCCTGTGCAGCGGCCGCCTCTCCCCGCCGCACACCGC